TTTTAAATTTTCGTTATATATATATATATATATATATATATATATATATAACGAAAATTTAAAATATATATATATATATATATATATATATATATATATATATATATATATAGGCTCAGATAAAAAAAAGTTAAAACACGAGAGATTTTTATTTTTTGTCATTTCAAGACGAATTCATCATTCCAGTCTAAAAGGGGTTGGCATTCGGGCATTTTTCACCAATTTTTTTTTGTGATATAGAGTGCTCGTGGAAAAAAAGTGTCCATTAATTTTCCGACGAAAAATTCCGAAAGATCGCGTCTCTTTCAGACTGTTAACTAGTCATGACCCTTTAAGACGCGGGCGCTGCTGCTAATGCGAAGTAATTTGAGACTGGAGAAGACCCCGAGTCACCGCGGCTGGTGAGAAAGACTGACAAGTGAGCGAAATTAACTGTCTGAGGATCACGCACGTGCGTGTGGGCGCGAAAAAAAAAAGGAACGTGGAGATCGGAAGAGGGAGGCGTGGAGAAAGCAGTCGACGGCTGTTGACGATAACGAGATTAGCCAGTATATGTATAGCAGAGGCTTCGTACCGCGGTTACTGCCTCCCCTGGCAACGCGATAGCAGCAAATAAAGCCGCCGAGTCAGTGATAAATCGGCGATACGAAATTCAAAGGGCGTCCGGAAGATTATTCTTGACACTATTCGTTTTTTCTTATGACGCACCGTACACGCTGCTGTCAGAAACATTTCGACCCTTACGTGTTTGCTGATACTACCGAAATATCTCCTTAATGTACCAGGCGTTATTGTAACACTTTATAAATGCTAATGTTCGTAAAATTATTATTCCACGACAAAAACAGTACTTGTAATTGGACTGCAACATTTGTGCACACTTATGACAAAATTGAAACTGGAAACAGTTGGACGTTTACATGTTTGCTGGTACTATTGTAATATTTCCTTAATCTACCACGCGTTATTGTAACACTTTATAAATGCTAGTGTTCGCAAAATTATTATTCCACGACAAAAACAGTACTTGTAATTGGACTGCAACATTTGTGCACACTTATGACAAAATTGAAACTGGAAACAGTTGGACGTTTACATGTTTGCTGGTACTATTGTAATATTTCCTTAATCTACCACGCGTTATTGTATAACACTTTATAAATGCTAGTGTTCATAAAATTATTATTCAAAGATAAAAAAACTATATGTATAATTGGACTGCAACATTTGTGCACACTTATGACAAAATTGAAACTTAAAACAGTTGGACGTTTACATGTTCCCTGGTATTACTGTAATATTTCCTAAATGTAACCACTCCTGATTGTAACACTGTGAATACGATTATATGGGAAATTATTATTCAACAAAAGAGACAGTGCTTGTAATTAGATCGCAGACACAGTGCATTTATGATAGAATTGGGTAAATGAAAGTCAGACGAGTAGAACAATTAAAAGAATGCAGAATGAAAGAAGTCTTGTAGTCGACGCAGAAAGTTTTTGTTCCACTGCTATGTACAATCTCTTATTACATAATGCTGTAATATATTTTACATATTATGTCCTATAATATGTATAAAGAGTTGCAGTCCATTTATAAGAATAAAGTAGTAACCAGATTGGTACAGTCTTCAATTCGTTTTTTCTTTGATTTCTTTTTGCTTTCTTTTTCTTTCTTTTCTTTCTCTTTTCGCATTTTTCACATGATTTTCGCTTTCGGTGTTACAATAGTTAACCCTGTGATCAAATACGTTTCTACAGAGTATGTTGACTAGGTTCATCAAAGGATTGCCTAGAGACTGGCAAACACAATTTGAAGTTTCTCCTATTTGTTGAGATATGTTAACTATTTCAAGCATGTACACGAGATTCTGGATCTAGTAACTTGTATCTTGTTCTACCTAATTTCGGGAAGTTTAAGCATTCGGTCGGAGATCTACGTCACCGGTATTCTAAATGTAATCATAATCAAGTTTCTACAGTTTAATCAGTCGTCTGAAATGCAACACCGAACATCGTCGTTTCTTATACGTATAAATTAGAAGAGAATGCTGTCGGTTGATCGGTTTCGTCATTTGCGGTTTCAAATTGCCGAACTGTCTATTGTGTCTCAAGATAGAGCAGATGGGTGTGCGCGAAATGAAACTTGAAACTACCAATTGCATATGGTGCATATGTTACAGCAGCGTGGCTTTTATCGAGTCGCTGTCGACACGAACCGCAGACCTGCGCGATGATAAATCAATTTAACAATCCGCTCACAATGTCTTCTTTCATAGACGATGGTTTACAAGAAGAGCTTAGTAATGACAAAGTAACGAGACGAGCAACACGATTCTCAGAAATGAGAATTCAATTAAGTTTGCGCCGATATATTCAATGTATGGAATTCAGTTTGGATTTGCAAGATATGACAGGATCGAGAGAGATTAACTGTCAAATTTTGATTTCATTATGCACTTAAGTGATTAGTCAGCGACGGTCAGTGACATTTATTAAAAATGTAATCGTGTCCTAATGAAGTATTTTTTACGCCACTTGACCCATTTCTTTCACTTTTCATTAAATTAGGCAACATTAACACCGGATTCTTGAATTTCGCGAATTACAGTAAATTCTCCCTAATCGACCCTCAAATGTAATCGTGCCCAAATGAAGTATTTTTTACGCCATTTTATTTGACCCATTTCTTCACTTTTCATTAAATTAGACAACATTAACACCGGATTCTTGAATTTCGCGAATTACAGTAAATTCTCCCTGATTGACGCTGAGCTTGGAAACAAAAACGGACAGGAGGAGATACGATTACTCCAGCCTTGCGACTCGTTTTCATAGTTGTTGGCAATCGGTAACTATAAAAACGAGTCGCGGGGCTCGACTATACGTGTCTCTTCTTACCAAATCGTTCATTTTTCTGTTTTAAGCTGAGCGTCGATTAGGGAGAATTTACTGTACTTGAAGCGTCGATCTCTAACGTCGCGACAAAACAAAAATCGAACAAAATTTCTGGAGTAATCGACGCGGTGATCTATCGTCGCCGAAATGAATTCTCAAGCCTGAGTAAATAATTCAGCGAAATATGGTTGACACAGCAGCGAAATTCCACGCGAACGGAACGCGACTACCGAATCGATAGACCAAACAGTGCTTTTCATCGACTGTGTACTTGAAGTTAGTCTGTCGAGGATGTGCTGAGACCTCGGAAATGCGCGAGGTGTCAACCATTCGTGATTTCGATTCTCGTGTCGGTTGGCGCGTGCAGGTTTTGCCGAAGGTGGTCACGCCTATGTATTGTGACAGGACCGTACTCGCACACACAGAAATAGGACCAAGAACATGACACAGCGAGTTCGTGGAGACGCTGTAGGTTCTAGAGCGACAAGGCGACAACTAGCTAGAGGTTGCTCCTTGATGTACTCACCTCCAGGGAGCTGACCTCGCCCGTCCCGTCCAAGTTGCATTAGCCCCTGCCGAATGTCCCTCAGTATCTGAAACAGAACAATCATGGGAATGAACGTTTCTTCGATAACTCGATTAAAGCGTACATTAATCGGGGACATCGACAACCGCGCCGTCGTCGCTCGACCGCCCAGAAAATTCGCCCGATCCAATTACTTTGGCAAACTAGAGCCCTAGGTTCGGCGGCGATAAGGAATTTAATGAGCAATATGCGATCAACTATTCTATGGTGCAATAATAATGGCGCATTCGGTTTTTCATTATTAGATTATCGGATTAGTTACGCAGCACCGATTTTGTGCGACAATGTTTACATACATTTCTATGCCCGAACACTGTTTTATCAAAAGCAGACAACGTGGATTTCTAAAACATTTCTTCTGTCTAATGAAAGAGGTCCAATTAATTTTGGTTAACGGTAAATATTTTCGTAATCGAAATGTTACGATTATTTTTCAATGAAGTTTTATTTCGAAATCGGTATAATCAAAATGGCGGAACATCTAAATAAATTTAGTCTTGTCATCGTTATAAAGCATTAGTTATTATTATTATTATTATTATTATTATTATTATTATTATTATAAGTAACTATTTTGGCAATCGAACTGTTACGATTATTTTTCAATAGTTTTATTTCAAAATCAATATAATCAAAATGGCGGAACATCTAAATAAATTCAGTCTTGTCGTCGTTATAAAAAAAGCATTAGTTATTATTATTATTATTAATTAGTTAGAATAATGATCGTTGTCGTTTGAAAAACAAAGTAAATGATACAATATAATTTTGCCGATTAAATTTTCCCGAACTGCATTGTCCCGTCCAAGAACTTCGTCCTTTTTTGGAGTTTAGAAATACAGAGTTCAAAGATTTCAACAAGAAGTACCATTTTAAAGAAGCGATAACTCGTTTGTAAATTGAGAATGTTGCTTGCTCTGTTGCCAATTTCATTGTCGCGACAACAACACGCAGGCATTGAAGTGCCACGAGATCCGCAGTCTAGACTGCGATGTAGGAATTTCTCGAGGACTCGTGATATGGTTGAAAAATGTCGAGTGACTACTTTTTTTTTTTGGAAAGTATTCGAGCATTTTCGATGACAAGTGGCGGCGCATCGTGAGACCACTCAAGACGAGGAGGACCCAGGATGGACTCGGATGAGAGACTCGTTCAATGTCCTTGTAATGCATACTTGTTGACAACACGCGGCGAACTTCAGAAAACTCTCGATTGATTATTCTCGTCCACGCCGAGTCTGTCTCGGAAGTTCAATTAAAACTCATAAAGAGCGGTAAACAAGCCGCTGGGAGCAGGACATTTCGCGTTTCCGCTTCGCACGCGAGTTGTGTTCATCTCTGCCGGACTCGTTGAGAAACTTTAATACCAATGAACACGAACACTATTTTGAGAAGAGTACAGTAAATTCTCCCTAATTGACGCTCGGTTTGTGCGCAAAAATGGACAATTTGAGAAAAGAGGATACGATTATTCGTGCCTATTATAATTGTTCAAATTATATCGTCTCGAAAACAAAATTTTATACGAAACGATGTTATTTCCAAATTTCCAATTTGCTTCTTTTTTAAGTAAATTCGCTTCTTCTTCTTGCTGTGGATTATCCTATGTAAGATTTTTCAGTATAATGTTTCGTATGTACATTTACTAAAGAATCCTTTATTGTTGCAGCGTGAATCGGAATCGGCGAACGGTGAAAAGAAGCGCGTAACAAGTCCATTTAGACTTTTGATTATTCAAGGATAACGTAACAAGTTTGAGAATCGAGTGACTTTTGCTAGATCGATACCAACGATTGTTCCCGTTTAAAAAACAACATACTTTGCAACGCGAACGGTGGAATGTTTCACGAACGTATTTGGACTCGAACAATTCCGATTCACTCGGCAATACGAGACCACGTTCGACGATATCCTCGTTTAGTACGTATCTGGTAATTTTTACAGGCGATCACGTGTCTAGACGTGGCATCTATGATGAAACTGCAGAAACATGAAACTGCAGAACTGAAAATAATCGGGACTTTAATACCATCGAACACGAACACTGAAAATTTTGGAAAGAGTACACTAAATTCTCCCTAATTGACGCTCGGATTGTGCATAAACATGGACAATTTGAGAAGAGAGTATACGATTATTCGTGCCTATTATAATTGTTGACAATCGGTAACTATAAAAACGAGCCGCAAGGCTCGAATGATCGTATCTTCTCTTCCCAAATTGCCCATTTTTGTGCGCAATCTGAGAGTCAATTGGCGAGAATTTACTATATTTTGATTCAAAATAAGAGGAGAGAGTCGCCAATTGAAATTAAAATTCAGGCTCGATAAAAATGCACGATTTATATGTATACCGGAGTAAAATGTTCAGTAAAAATATTCATCAAAGATTTCATAGCGGCAGATTGATTTCCACGTCGTTGCCAGAGGTGTGACGAATTTTAATATTCTACATTCCTGCTTCAGTTTTCAAATTCCTTCTCTTGTTCATATCTAAACCATAACTAGACAGTGGATTTTTATGCGAAATAAAAATCGTCTGCCATCGTTGCAGTATACGAGAAGCCAAGTGTAATTTGTAATTATTTTTTTAAATAATTTCAATAAGACGTAATTAAGACATTAACATTCTTAGCCTCTTTTAATCTCTTCACTATTTTGAAACGCACCTATTCGCGTTTTTGTCATAAATGCGTAAAATCCGCAGACAACTCGTAAAATTTTCTGCTTCCTCATTTATTCACTTGATGTCGGATCAGCTTTCCAGCAATATAATAATATATAGACCGCGGATTTTATGCATTTATGTCAGAAATATGCAAGTCAAATTTCAAACTGTGAGAAGATTAAATGAATTTAAAGATATGAACTTACTATCTTCCACTGGTTAAGATTATTAAAGGAAGAATGAAATTTAGTTTCATCGTTTGTTCAACGAAAACAAGAGATTTTTCTTGCAACAAGTAGATGTATTCAATATTCTTGATATTGTCAACAGCTGCGAATGAAAAATTTAACGAATATTTATATATATAAAAAATATATCTAATAAATAAATACTTATTGAATTATTTATTTATTTTGATTTTAATAAATATTATATACGGTGTTTTCTATTGTTTATATTAGCTTCCAAAAGTGTATTCATTTAAAAGTATCTATTTAAAAGTATTCTTATATTCTTTTAATATCTAATATTGCACATTTCTGTTTCAGTCATCAAATTCCTCCTTTCTGTAATATTAATCCTTTGCGCTCGATGTCATTTCAACTGTGAATCTAAAATAAATTTTCTGATTTATAGCATTTCCATTTCGTATGTCTTGCGATGGCTCGTACAACGGTTACGCTTTTAACAATTTTTTAAATCTAAACTGTGTGTTGGCATAAAAATTATCTTTGAACGTGATATAACAATTTCTGTAGTGCCACGGAGTCACCGCTCGAGTGCAAAGGGTTAACTCATAACCTTTTCTGTTTCTTCATTTGTTCATTTGATGTCGAATCAGTTTTCCCTGATATAAAGAGCGACTAAATTGCAATGTTTCCCCAAAGAAGTAAGAAAAACCAATAAGATCTCATTTTTCCAAACTTCTCTTCCACGAAGTAGATGTATCAATAGCTCTGTTATTCTGAACAATTACGAAATAAATCAATCTGGGTCCATTATTTCGACAGGCAGTCCAAACATTGAACGTCTGCGACGGGCGAGCATTTAGCCAAAACAAATGAATCATAATTATACTTGCCATTAATCTCCGCGGCGTTGCTCGTCGATTTGCCGGGAGATAGCTAATAAATATGTAGAAGCGTGGAACTTGCGTACATTAATCGCCGGGCGAGGAGGACGGGCAGAGCGGAGGCGAGCGGAAAGCGGTAACGGGAAAAGGAGCTGGAAAGGACGATACGGAGGGATAGATGGTCAAGTGGTTGCCCGTGGGATGATCCCGCAGTTTCTTGTGCAAAAGAGAAGTCAGCCGGATAGCGGCGAGAATAGAAGGCGGAGAACAGAGAAGAAAGGCGGGTTCCCTCCAGGGAGCAGTAAACCTGCGGAGGAGGAAGTGACACTAAAACTTTTACACGGATACCGGGGCCTTTATTTACATATTGCTCGCAGACTCAAAGGAAACTGTTCGCTTTATTTCCATCTGGCTTTTTTCTGTCTCGCTGGCTAGCCCGCGGCCGGAATAGGTAGTTTCGGCCAATTTTTATGGAACCTTTTCTGCTCCCTTAACATTTTTTTGAAAGGACCCGGTGAACTTTTTCGCCCATTGCACGCGCACCGGAATCGTTCGTTCTCGTGGAACAGAGAAAGAGAGCGGGAGAGAGTTAATTCGAAACTCGTTTGCCATTACTGTGCACGACCGCACCGCGCGGAAACGATCTCGGCGGGGCAGCCAAAATATTCGCGGCGACAGCCGTTTCGCGGCGATGGATCGCGATACGACGCGACGCGGCGTCTCAACCTTGCGGATGTCACAGCTGAAATTTTAATGGAAGTCCTCGGCGAGACGCCTCGTTTTAGCCGTCGAAGTGTTTGGACGATCGCCACACTGCGGATCTTCGCGCGGGATCCACATTTTCTCGAGCAATTGCAATCGAACGGTTGAAAGTTTTACTATTTCGAATCTCACGTAATCAACTTTCTCGTAAGCGGGCGAAATCGAAAACTCACGACCTTCTGCGGATTCTTATGCGAGATAAAAGTTTTCTATGTTAACTGCATGAAGTCGCAGGGATAGGAACGATCTCTTGGAAAATATGCCTGATATGTTCGCAAATACAGTGGCCCATAAAAGTGTTACTTTTAAAATGCAATAACTTTTTGCGAACTGAATTAAATGACTTGAATTTTTTTTTTAGATGACAGAGAGACTGGTCTAAACAATGGCTAAAAAGCTTTCTTTTTAAATCTTGCTACTACTTGAAATGAAAAGAATAGATCGTAAACCCTTGTTTTTTAACTCTTCTATCTGAGCCTATATCGAAGATTTAAAAAATGCCTTTTGTAGATCACGGTAACTTATATACGTGCTGAAAATGTCGTCGAGCTACAGGCATTGAAGGATTTTAAAAAGTGCAGATTTCATCCAGTTTTTGGTCAAAATCGTGACAAAAAACTGCGATTTTTGCGATCTTTAATTTGTTGTAACTCGTAACAACGTGAGCCGATTTCGATACAATTTTCAACATGCATATAAGTCATCGAGGTCAGCGAAAGATATTTTTAAAATTTTCCTTCTAGATAAAAAAGTATAAAACGAGAGATTTTTATTTTTTATCATTCCGAGTAATAGCAAAATTAAGAAAAAAAGCATTTCGATCATCGTCTAGTAGACTAGTCCACCTATCATCTAAGAAAAGTTCAAATCATATAGTTCAGTTTTAAAATAGTTATTGCGTTTTAAAAGTTGTACGAACACCTTTGTTGGCTACTGTACGTGAAACACGATGCTTCGTCTACGATAGAATTGTATTCGAACACAGAAGTTCATTTCTTTTAAATTTAGTGCAAGGAAGAAAATATAAAATAGCGCTCCTCAATTTTTCCAAAGCTTTTACTACACATTTTGAATCTCGTGTACTCAACTTACTTATCCGCAGTCTACTTATTATTTTCTGCTGATTCTTATGCGAGATTCGGTAATTTCTCCCTAATTCGCGCTCAGATTGTGCAGAAAAGAGGTCAATTTGGAAAGAGAAGATATACCTTGCGGTTCGTTTATATAGTTATCGATTGTCAACAACTATAAAAACGAATCCAAAGGCTCGATTAATCGTACCTTCACTTTCCATATTGTCCATTTTCGTTTCGAAGCTGATCGTCAATTAGGGAGAATTCACTGTATTCCTAAATTTCGCTCAAAATTCATCGCTCAATTTTCTCACACAGCGCACACTATTCACATTACGTCTACGATTTCTTAGCGTATCTTGACGCAGAAAACTTGAATCGTTCGTGACCGCAAGAAGCAAAAGTTAACTGCTGCCTATAAAATGATCTATGAAAATGAAAATCCTCATAAAGCTCTGTCCCGTTACGTTTAATCCTCGAAAATTACGCGGAGGAATCCGCATCGCTCGTAAGCCGCTCTGAAACGTCCTCCGACGAGCAATCGTTGGAACGACGACAGGAAAGCGTTCGCACGGTTTTGATAACTCGGCGCGTCTAAAAATCTGCAGCCGGTCTCCGAACACAATCAAAGAGATCTGCGGAAGTTCGACGGGCCAGGAACTTCCGTAATTTCGTAGGGAGGGGAGGGGGAGGGGGAATATCAGGGAGCTGAAAATATCGCGTTTCTAGATTAGACTGCCGCCTGGAGCGGAACGAGAGTTAAAACGCAACAAGGATCGGGACGGTAAGCAGTTCCCGATACCGAAAATCTGGCGGAGCATCCGAAGGTATCTCCGGTCGAAGGCGCACGCACTCGCGGCGAAACAAAAAGTAGCAAAGAAATCTGGAGAAACGAAACCGTCGGTGGGAGGTACACGGGAGCGCAGGAGAGAGAGATATCGGGAGAAAGAGAGATATACGTATAGCAGAAGAGAGAAGGAGGAAGAAAGAGAAAGAGAAAGAAAGAGAAATAAAGAAAAGAAAGAAAGAGAGAGAGTGCGAGCGAGAGAGTGAAAGAGAGCACGAGAGGGAGCGAGAGAGAGAGTGAAAAAGAGCACGAGAGAGAGCGAGAGAGAGTAAGAGAGAGAGTAAGAGAGAGAGTGAAAGAGAGCAAGATAGGGCGAGAGAGAGCGAGAGAGAGGGAGAGTGAAAGAGAACGCAAGAGAGAGCGAGAGAGAGCGAGAGAGAGAGAGAGAGAGATCAACAACGCTGCCGGCGATGCCGTGCGATTGCGCATAAGAAATTCCAAGCGTAATGTCGCGGTACACATTGACGATTATGACGATATCGTGCTGATCTCTGGATGCTTTGCATAATAAGAGGTATCGGGATGGCGCGAGACAGACAGTCGACGGTCCTAAAACGGGGTAGCGGGAGCGGGATGGCCGCGACTGTTGAAAAAGCACCGAGCGAGGAAGAATAAGCGTGGGTGAGGGACCGGGAGCGAAGTGATAGCGCTCGCTTGCACACATGCAAATTTTCTTCTTGTGAGAATTTTGTCGAGCAACGATCTCGGGGGTCGCGGATCGGAGGGCAGGGGTGGGTGGGGGGGATCATTGTATCGGATAAAACCATTGGCTCGCGGAGCCAATATTGGTCGAACGACGAGAAAGGGGGTTTGTCGATGATCCGGGGAATGCACCGGGGAATTGAAGGAGGGAAATAAACGAGCTGGGGCACAGATTGGTTTAATCGAGATAGGTTTTCTCTTGTCATGATTACCCGGCCTGATAAAAGAAATTGTCACTCGCCGAACACCTTTGCGAATAATTTACAACGCTGTAAACCGAACGCTCGGCTATCGAATCGTCACCTCGTTGCGGAGATAGCGGCGTTGCTTTATCTTCGACGATTCTCTTGGTGCAGGTGATGCTTGTTGGGCCTATACAGTGGTTTCGACAAATTGTTCGAGCAACAACAATTCGGGTCCCGAATTTCTCGCTTGCTGTATCGTGCAGAATCATTTTTGGAAACGATTGTTCACAGCGGTGTGAAAGTGGAAATTTGGAGCTTCGAAATGAAGCCAGGTTCGTTGTTGCACGATTGCTCTTTTTGGAAATTATAATTGGATCAATGTCAATGATTTGTTCAATGTTTAGTGTTCGAGTATAGAATGTTCGTTTTGTTCATTTTGATTTATTTAATCCATTTAGTGCCGACCGAAAGAGTCGTGTGTACTTGAGCGACATATATCAAAATTGCTTGACATAGTTTGGTAAAATATATTATATTTGAAGAAAATTATAACAATTTTGTAAAACTTAATACTGTGAGTTCGCTTAATCTTTTAATGGAAATTGAAAAAGTTAGCTCGTTATTCATTTTCTTCTTGATTCATCAAATTATTATTTCACTGTACATGTATCGTAGCACAGTAATTTCTGCCTAATTCGCGCTCAAATTTTTGATGAATATTTTTACTGAACATTTTATTTTGGTACACGTATAAATCGTGCATTTTTATCGAGCCTGAAATTTAATTTCAATTGGCGACTCTCTTCTTTTATTTTGAATCAAAATATAATAAATTCTCCTCAATTGACTCTCAGATTGCGCACAAAAATGGGCAATTTGAGAAAAGGAGATGCGATTATTCGAGGCTTGCGGCTCGTTTTCATAGTTACCGATTGTCAACAACTACAAAATAAAAGAATAATCGTACCTCCTTTTCCCAAATTGTCTATTTTTGTGCGCAATCTGAGCGCGAATTAGGGAGAAATTACTGTAATTAGAAAATTCAAAAAGGGAGAAGAAATGAGAAACGAACGCGTAATTTATTAAAAATATTACGAAAACAACATTTTTACAAGCGTAACCAACAAAGATATATTGTTTGGCACTAAAAGGGTCGATTGGTATATCAAGGTTATATTAAGAATAATACAAAGTAAAAATTGTATCAATCGCAAGAAACAGAAGATAAAGCAAGAAGATATCTCAACATTTTAAAATTCTTCTTGCTTTAGTTTCTTTCGATTTGTAGGGGAAGAATGTCGCAGCTTTGTTATTGCAAATATTGCTAATATTTAAAAGGAGGAAGCAATTAATAGGACGTTCATCGCGGTCACTCTAAAAAAAGAATATTTTATCGGAAGGAAATGGTGGAATCACCTTGATAATTCATGTGATTTATCGAGATTTTACGCACGCTGTCGAATGCACTAAATATGCAATGCACGTGTTTTACTGCAGTTGATTTCGGCGGAATATGTTTGCAGGCCTGTGTGTTACATGCATACATCATCGCGGATACGTCCGCCGTTGTTTACGCACGCGGCAACATAATAGCGTATCTATTGATATTAAAGTTTGCACTTTTCTGGCGGTCAGAATGTTGTGTTTGCTCAAAATTTTATCGTCGCGCCCATTCGTCAATGTTTATATTAATTAATGTTCGCACTCGTGAGCCTGATCTGCGGTGAAATTTTTATACATATTTTAAATTTCACATTTTAAGACAGGACAAACGCAGTCGCGACGTAAATTGATAATTAAATCGGTCTGTTTGCCGCGCATCGCGTTTGTTGAACTTTTTCTTTTTTTTTATAAATATATACTCCCTGCACTTCTTCGCCGGCAGGACTCGCGTAATTTCATTAGCGAATTATAAAACGCGGATGAGCTTTAATTTGAACTGTACTCACCTCCTCGTGTTCCCGGTGAAATCTCTCCTTCTTTCTCAGTTCCTCTTGAACCTTGAGCTGCAAAATACAAAGGAGTATAAACAGCCGGTCAATTGTATCAACCAACATCTGGAAAGTGACGGCAAATAATATGTCGGCCGGCCCGCGGGAACAACGGCTCGCGGGATACGAATATGTGGAAGCGCAGCCTTCAATTCTTTTGCCACGCGGTTTCCTACGCGGAGGGAAACTGAAACCTTCGCGGAGAGTAATTATCGCGGATCTTGCGATAAAGCGAGCTCACCGGAAACTCTACGGTTTTAATGAACTACAGGCAATGCGCGCGGCAATTCATCAATTTAGTCAATTCCGTGGAATGTTTGAACGCACTTTCCATTTTCGCATTGATGGCTTTGTATTTCATTAATTGCCACCGTATCCTGCCGTGAAATTAAATAGACGATGTTGTTCAGACTAGAAATAAACTCATTTAACTGCGAACACGTTGACGATCAAAGTTTCGTTAAATTTTTAATTTGGTGTTCACACCGAATTTTCTACTTCCAAAGTGAAACATATTAATAATTAATTGCTCCCGATGCACAGCGTCAAATATAATTTTGTTTAGCATTCTTTTGAAACATTTAGGATCATGCGAGATTAAAATTAAAATAAACATTTTCCAAAGTGAAACATATTAATTAATTGCTCCCGATGCACAGTGGCGAATATAATGTTTTTTTTAGCATTCTTTTGAAATATTCAGAATCATGCGAATTAAAATAAAAATAAAAATGTTCTACTTCCAAAGTGAAACATATTAATTAATTGCTCCCGATGCACAGCGTCAAATATAATTTTTTTAGCATTCTTTTGAAACATTTAGGATCATGCGAGATTAAAATTAAAATAAACATTTTCTACTTCCAAAGTGAAACATATTAATTAATTGCTCCCGATGCACAGCGTCAAATATAATTTTTTTTAGCATTCTTTTGAAACATTTAGGATCATGCGAGATTAAAATTAAAATAAACATTTTCTACTTCCAAAGTGAAACATATTAATTAATTGCTCCCGATGCACAGCGTCAAATATAATTTTTTTTAGCATTCTTTTGAAACATTTAGGATCATGCGAGATTAAAATTAAAATAAACATTTTCTACTTCCAAAGTGAAACATATTAATTAATTGCTCCCGATGCACAGCGTCAAATATAATTTTTTTTAGCATTCTTTTGAAACATTTAGGATCATGCGAGATTAAAATTAAAATAAACATTTTCTACTTCCAAAGTGAAACATATTAATTAATTGCTCCCGATGCACAGCGTCAAATATAATTTTTTTTAGCATTCTTTTGAAACATTTAGGATCATGCGAGATTAAAATTAAAATAAACATTTTCTACTTCCAAAGTGAAACATATTAATTAATTGCTCCCGATGCACAGCGTCAAATATAATTTTTTTTAGCATTCTTTTGAAACATTTAGGATCATGCGAGATTAAAATTAAAATAAACATTTTCTACTTCCAAAGTGAAACATATTAATTAATTGCTCCCGATGCACAGCGTCAAATATAATTTTTTTTAGCATTCTTTTGAAACATTTAGGATCATGCGAGATTAAAATTAAAATAAACATTTTCTACTTCCAAAGTGAAACATATTAATTAATTGCTCCCGATGCACAGCGTCAAATATAATTTTTTTTAGCATTCTTTTGAAACATTTAGGATCATGCGAGATTAAAATTAAAATAAACATTTTCTACTTCCAAAGTGAAACATATTAATTAATTGCTCCCGATGCACAGCGTCAAATATAATTTTTTTTAGCATTCTTTTGAAACATTTAGGATCATGCGAGATTAAAATTAAAATAAACATTTTCTACTTCCAAAGTGAAACATATTAATTAATTGCTCCCGATGCACAGCGTCAAATATAATTTTTTTTAGCATTCTTTTGAAACATTTAGGATCATGCGAGATTAAAATTAAAATAAACATTTTCTACTTCCAAAGTGAAACATATTAATTAATTGCTCCCGATGCACAGCGTCAAATATAATTTTTTTTAGCATTCTTTTGAAACATTTAGGATCATGCGAGATTAAAATTAAAATAAACATTTTCTACTTCCAAAGTGAAACATATTAATTAATTGCTCCCGATGCACAGCGTCAAATATAATTTTTTTTAGCATTCTTTTGAAACATTTAGGATCATGCGAGATTAAAATTAAAATAAACATTTTCTACTTCCAAAGTGAAACATATTAATTAATTGCTCCCGATGCACAGCGTCAAATATAATTTTTTTTAGCATTCTTTTGAAACATTTAGGATCATGCGAGATTAAAATTAAAATAAACATTTTCTACTTCCAAAGTGAAACATATTAATTAATTGCTCCCGATGCACAGCGTCAAATATAATTTTTTTTAGCATTCTTTTGAAACATTTAGGATCATGCGAGATTAAAATTAAAATAAACATTTTCTACTTCCAAAGTGAAACATATTAATTAATTGCTCCCGATGCACAGCGTCAAATATAATTTTTTTTAGCATTCTTTTGAAACATTTAGGATCATGCGAGATTAAAATTAAAATAAACATTTTCTACTTCCAAAGTGAAACATATTAATTAATTGCTCCCGATGCACAGCGTCAAATATAATTTTTTTTAGCATTCTTTTGAAACATTTAGGATCATGCGAGATTAAAATTAAAATAAACATTTTCTACTTCCAAAGTGAAACATATTAATTGATTGCTCCCGATGCACAGTGGCGAATATAATGTTTTTTTAGCATTCTTTTGAAACATTCAGGATCATGCGAATTAAAATTAAAATAAAAATTTTCTACTTCCAAAGTGAAACATATTAATTAATTGCTCCCAATGCACAGTGT